ATCAGAAGAGACACAAAAGCCTGCCTGTCATTAATCTTGCTTGCCTGTGCCTGAAAAAAGACAAGTGGGATGTACACCGCTGAATACATTACATTTTCAGCGTCTCAGAGACATGACTGAATTGCTCACTTCTCCCAGTCCTTATCTTAGCTGCTGTACAATCCTAATTAAAAGGCTGACGTAAGGAATACACATGGGGAAGAGTCTGGCATGGATGTTATGGATGAGATGATAAACTTTATGAGCACAGCTACCTCCCACGTAGCTTTTGTAGTTAACTGTTGGAGCTTGAACAGCTGTTCTTATGTGGACCATTTCTCATTTCAGAGGGCTGAAAATGTTAAATAAAACAGACTTGCCCTTTCTAATAGGTAGTAGCATCTCGCTGATCTAATTAATCCACATAGCTCATTCTTTCACTGAGATAACTTTACTGGCAAATCAAGCTCCAGTTCGCTTCTCCTGCTGCTCATTTTCGGTGTGAGTATCCACCCCGCAAACAATGCTGTCATGGAGTTAACACAGCAGAAATATTTGTTTAATTAGTTACATTTTCAGCTTTTAAATGAGAAGTAAAAACAAGCCACGGGTGGTCTGTAACCTCAGAAGAGCAAATATCCCAGGCTGTAAAATCATCCCAGCTCAGAATACTGGGCTGGACATAAAAAAAGCATTTATTGAATCCTAGGCCTGAGTGAGGAACAGAAGGTGCATTAAGAGCTTTCAAACTGCAGCCTACTGCCAATTCATTAAGTGTTCAGCATTATTTAATAAAAATGGCACATGCATATACTTCAACTGAAACACTATTTATTCATAAACATTTTTAACTAGAGTATCTGTTGGGAGTTATTCACACACCAATTCAGAGACAGTTTCAAATTCTTCCTTCAAGTAAATGCATGCAATTCCCATTGCTGTCTGCCTCACCTAGACTATAGGTCTGCAAGCAGAGCTTGTCCTGTATTTTGCAATTAAGCCAAGAATCAATTGGTTTATAGAGACCAGGACATGTTGCTGTTAATGTCTTGGTAATGCATTAACATTAAAGAAGTGAGAAAACAACTACAATTTGTGTAATAGCATTAAAGTGATTCTACTACCCTTATGCCTGAACCTCAAATTCGAATGGATTTTTGAAAAAATTCCTCTTTTTTGGCTATTTTATCAGAGAAGTCAGTCTCCAGGTAGGCATGAAATAAAATGGCCAGGCTTTCTACAGAACTACAGGATGTTTCTTGAAACAAATCATGACACTACTGAATGTTGAAACAAGGGCTGAGCAGATCTGATGCTTCAGCCCACAGTTCTTTGGGTTACGTTAACATGACAGTAACTGCTTTCAGACTCTGAAAGTGGTGACCAAGCAAACTAATAATGTTTGCTAACAGACTCAGGCAGCTGTTGCAATGGGATGTTGCAATGGGACATTGCAGACAGGGAACATCGTCATTTTTAGCCGCATCCTGTGCAACTATTACCTACCCAAATACTTCTAAGATGCTTTCTCAGAACCTCTCTGCCACTCTTATTCTCGATGCTGTCTAGTTAAAAGGTGCTTAAGGAAGCTTCTTCCTTCACAAGAGAGATTCCTGGAAGAGTCAGAGAAATTGCCTTTTCCACACTTTCGCACTCACTCACAAGGAGCAGGTTCTTCCACATTCCCCATTTCCACAGCATAATGCCCATGCAGAAACAAAAGCAATTTCTGACCTGGGAAAGATTAACCCAGAACACATTTTTCTTTTTTCTGTGTGATTTCACAATTGGAGATGAAGATGGCCAACACTTTTTAACCTGTTACTCCTCTAAGAGCCCTATGTGTTCTCAATCTGGCAATTGGACAGCTGCTGCTTTAGGACTTTGCCCTTTCTGTCTCCCTTATCTTTCCTTCTGTTGTCTTCTTATTTTCCATTTTTATGATATTCTTTTTTGGTAGATAATAATGCCTTTAGGATTAGTGCTGGCAAGAGGCCAGGACAAAATGGCAGCGCTAACTACTTTGGTTTGAGTTAGGGTCACTGCAAGACAAATTAGAGCATGGACGCGGGGCCCCATTTTCCCATGACACTGGAAAAATCCACACAGAGAAGCAGAAACACTGAATGCTTCAAATCCAAATCTCCCTGAGTTCATCCTCTTGGGACACAGCCTGCAGAAAAGGATGAGGATTATATTTCAACACCCGTGGATAGGACTTGAGATGGACTTTACGACCAACTATCTTCCCCCAGAGTTTTTGTTTTCAGGAGCAGAATCCAGCAGAGAAAAATCCATCTCTGTCACTTCCCACCCACTCAGCTGAAGGACCTCTCCCTCCCAAGCTTTCCTTGGAGGACACAGCCTTGCTTAGCGCCTGTCTAGGCCAAAATTGCCACTTTCTTCCCACGCTGCCAAAAGAAGCACCATTAATGATGTGCCCACTAGCCACATATCTTTCAGAGAGGAAGGAACTGGCCCTCACTTTGGCTTTTTATTTTTCCCCATTAGTTTTTAAAATGGATTTTTTTCTCAAGCCTGAAGGCTGCCCCAAAATGTTTCTCCTCTGAACACAGCAGCAGGACAATCAGTTAAGGGAATACGAAGCATCTCTTTCCCACTGTCCAAAGTGGGGAAATGTAAAATTCATCATAAATGACAAAAATCAAACCAGATAGTTAAAATTCACACACTGTTAATGAAGTAACACAGCTAATGTTTTTTGCTATGCTCAACCCAAGGCTACCACTCTTAAAGAAGTTGTATTTTCCCATTGGGTTAGGAGGCTGTGAGAAAGGAGGCAGGACAGTCTCTGCTGAGATCTAAGTTAAGCATTTGAAACCAAACCTCCTTCCCCCATAGCCATGATCTGTAGCTCCTTCACCGGGAGGCCCAGATCCCTATGGCCTCCACCAGGAGCTTCCCATCAGTCAAGGATTGATGTTTCAGATGGCAGGAAGCTGTGGTAGGTGTACATAGATCAGAAGTCATCTCTCTGCCCCCACAAGAAGAGATTGGGAAGGGTGCAGAAAGCTGGGTGGGAAAGGAAGAGGAGCAGGAGACGCAGCAGCAGCCCCTGCCTGGCCCTAGCAAAGGCTGATGTTTTTGGGTGAGGGAGTACCTGGAGCAAGATTAAAAGCTCTGGATCATGGGTGGGAATGGGATATGCGGAGAGGCAGCCCTCGGAGCCCGGCAGCAGAAGGGCAAGGACAAGGCAGAAGGGAGCCAGGCACCCACGCAGCTGCCCTGGGACAGCCAGGAGCACTGCCAACAACCACATTAGCCTGCAAAATTTCCCCCTCACTGGCATGAGGGGATTTGCTGTCTCATGGATCCACTTCTGCTTGACCCTAGCAGCTTGCATCTATACAGCGTCTATCAATGCTGAATTTGCATAGGGTTTGCAGTGGGTCCCCATTCTAAAGAACAGCAAAGCATCCACTTGCCTGCCTCCAAACCACCCACAGACAGCATCCTGAGGTCTTGCAGTTTAACACTTTTCTCATCTGGGGAAATGTCACACTGCCCAGACTACAAAAGCCACAAAACTGTGGAGGACTGGATCTTTAATATTCAAAATCACATTTCTCACCAACCACAACCAAAAGCACATAGCAGATCTTCAATGTACATAGCTTGCTAAATGACACTTGCAAAAGGGCACATAGAGGGAAAAGGGAGGAACAGCACAAAGTACAGTCCCACGCCTTCTTCAAAACTCATTTAGCAGGTTCTTCACTGAGCAGCACATTGAAGTCGGCAGTTGGAGTTTCTCCACTAACCCAAGGCAAAGAATGACCACAAAAGACTATTTCTGCCTGCCTAGACTTTGAAGGTTTCACAGGAAAAATATAAGCCACTGATGTGATTCAAACAAATTTTAAGTAAAATATTTAAATAAAATATATTCAAGTTCTAAGAAGTATAAGTTTTCTGAAGACAGCTGAGGTTATGCAATAAACTGCAGGAAAGATCATTTATTAACACAACATTCAAGTTCATCAGCTTGTGCTCACCCTGAAGATGATGCCTCCATCTGTGAGGGACACAATGCTTAAAGCAAAGAGATGAGATAGGTGCCCTCCTGGCAAAGGAGGGGTTTGTATTGCTTTCTTGAGTTTCAGGATAAGTTCCTAGCTCTCATTTCCTACAGCTAAAGACTGACCAAACTCTCTTCAAGCCTCTTTTCTTCATAAGTATATTTGGAAAGTTTATTCCCCACCATGGGGAAGGCTGACTGTCTGGGAAGTACTTGTATCAGCATGCAGAAATCCCTATAGGTATGTGCTATACATTCTTGCTTTCACAAAAGACTTTTCTATGAAAATGCCTAACGAACTAGCTTAGCAGTAGCTCAAAAGCAATTTTCAGAGGCATCTTCCTCCTACATTTGGAGAGATTAAAAAAAGACATGCTTTCCCACATCCATCTCTGGAGGACAGTGGCACTCTCTTAGGCTTAAAACAACTCACAAGGACTATACTGATATTTTAGACAGTTTAAAATACACAACAGCAACAATCTAAATATGCTTAGTTGGGAAATAAAACCACTTTTCTCATTCACATCAAGAAAAACTTCACCAGATGCAATACAGAGAGTGTAACTTTCTGAGATCTTATTGTACCAAAAAAAATTATTGGGAGAAAACAAAAAAGAAGAATATAGTTATTTGCCTGTTAAAAAAAGACAAGTGATTGTTGGGCAAGGGAGAGAGACCTGGTAATCTGCCTTTCCACTACCTTCCTGCTGATGAACAAGGGGATGAGCACAGGACAATTGGTCATGGATGGTGGTGCACAGCACTAGTGCACCTAGGTCAAGTCTATTCTTACTATTTGCATTATCCATGAAAAAAAAAAGAAGAAAAAGAAAAAGAAAAAAAAAAGAAAAGATATTATACAGGCAACAGTGGGATTTTACAACTGAATGCAGGTGATTCTGTCCTGATTAGGTCTCACTGCTACTTTTGCTTTCATTAGGAGCATGCTAAGACCTAAGGCCTGTCATCAAGTACTTACGTAGTCATCCTCATGCAGACCTTGCTTCTGAACAGAACTTTTCACCTCCAGGGAAAACTTCTCAAACTCAGGCTTCACGGTCCTCAGCAGAGTGACAGTTTGGAGGTACGAGTATGCCTTCTTGGCTTCAAGGTCATGTTTGTCTCCTCTTCTCCAAGAGCCATTTCCTAAGGGGAAAGCAAGCGCATTTCCAACTCCACATTAGGTAGCATTACAGGATTGCCATCCTTCTTCCACCCACAATTCCCCTCTCCTGCACCTTGGGGAGATGGCAGAGTACAAGGGAGAACTGAACCTGCTCCATGACATGCAGGAAACTGGGAAGGGAGGAATGGCTCGTGGGAAGTAAATGTGCAAACAGAAGGACAACTTTACTCCCATGCTGTGCTTGCTTATTTTTAAAGGGTAGGATGAAGCTTAAGTATGAAAAGACATCTCTGAGCAAAAAACATGTGCCAGATCTCAAACGCAGAGATATTTAAGTTAGAACAAGTGAGGGAGGATTTGACCACAAAGTTTTTGTTAGACGTCACTCCACCAGCAACACTCTTGGACAGTCAGAAAGGCATCAGTAAAGTCAATAGTATGATTGTCACCCCGAATGGGAGGCAGATGGTGCAGCTACTTCTCCCACAGCTCTCCCACTACAGTCAAGGAGAAAACCATGTGTGCAGTGGCTGCCAGACCAGCCCTGCTCTTAGCGGAAAAGAAACACATAGAAATAAAATGGGATCCTGCGCCTATGCTGTATTTACACATTTTGTGTCACAGTGCAGCAACAATTTAACTCGGTGTGCTGGTTTTGGCTGGGGTAGAGTTAAATTTTCTTCACAGTAGCTGGTGTGGGGCATGTTTTGGATTTGTGATGAGAACAGTGTTGGTAATGCCAAGATGTTTTTGTTACAGCTGAGCAGTGCTTATACAGAGTCAGGGCCTTTTCTGCTCCTCACCCCTCCCCACCCGCGAGCAGGCTGGGGGGGCACAAGGAGTTGGGAGGGGACACAGCTGGGACAGCTGACCCCGACTGACCAGAGGGGTATTCCAGACCATAGGATGTCATGTTCAGCATATAAAGCGGGGGGGATGCTTGGAGTGATGGTGTTTGCCTTCCCAAGTCACCGTTACGTGTGATGGAGCCCTGCTTTCCTGGAGATGGCTGAACACCTGCCTGCCCATGGGAAGTGGTGAATGAATTCCTTGTTTAGCTTTGCTTACATGTTCAGCTTTCTCTTTACCTATTAAACTGTCTTTATCCCAACCCACAAGTTTTCTCTTTTACCCTTCCGATTCTCTCTCCCCCGTCCCACCGGGGAGGAGGGAGTAAGTGAGTGGCTGTGCAGTGCTTAGTTGCTGGCTGGGGTTAAATCACAACACTGAGACCACTAGTAAAGTAACCAGATTTTTAAAAAGCAGGACAGCCAACTGGTTAATTAGCAGAGGAGCCCTTCTGCCTAACAGGGCCTGACCTTAGCAGGTCCTGAGACCCTGATCCAAAGCTTCACGAGATCAGTGGAAAGGTTCACATTGCCCTGGACCAGGTTTTGTGCTATTCTACGTAAATGAAAAATAAGAGACCTAGAGGGAACAGTGGTAGCCCTAAGCAGTGTGCCTTTAAATGCTTACAAATAATGAAAAGCTAGACAGTCATTTTATTTTTTGAACAACAGCAACAAACCCCAGCACAGCTAAATAAGCCAAGCTGAAGACTAACACTAAGTTCCCAAGGGCAACCTGGAGGCACACGGGACCCTGAGATGAGAGATGATGTGGCTGCTTTGCTTGGGTCGAGGACCATGGTGTCATTTGGACCAAGAGAAGCAAGTGGTTTGGGAGGGGAGATGCTAACAGAGATGGAGTCCAGGCTTCAAACCCATGGTGCTTCTTGCACAGCACTACCAGCTGTACCACATGCCTGCAAGAGCAAATTCATGGACAACCTCTGTCCCCCCGAGGCAGGTGAATACAGAGCTTGCATTTTGTCCTCCCAGTAGCCCGGCACTGCTGCTGCAACTTTTTTTTTCCCTTCTATTTTTGACAATAAATGTAATTGGAGAATTGCTCTGCTTCCTCAGAGAGCACAGGGGAAGAAGAAAGAACCTGCATTTCTCCAGAGGACAAGTCTTTCCTCCTGCTGCTTTTGGCTCCGGGGCAGCTCCTGTCATGCCCAGCACAGGGCAAGAGGCACAGGACCACCTGAGCCCTTTTACCTCTCTTTTCCACCCCAGGAAATCCTTATTTACCACAGTTCAGGACCAGCTAGGACTGTAATCTTTATAAATTCCACGAACCTTGCCAATTCTTAATTTCTTTTTTTTTTTTTTTTTTGGAAGTGATTTCATTCTCTTAGGAAGAAGCTCTAGGTACATCTGCCTTGGTTTAGGGATTTATTTCCCAATACAAAGTTGAACTAGTGAAAATTACTTACGCCAGGACCCTGATTACTTACGCCATCAGACCTGATGGAAACACTGGCAAGCAACTAACAGCCCACCATCTGGTTTTGCCCTCAGAGATGGCACTCTTCCCTTCAGTGCCTGCACCCTGTCCTTGTCACTGCTTTTGCAAAGAAAGAAATGCACATCTGGCAATTGTAAGGTAGCACATCTTGCTAGCTTCCCCACAAGAGAGTAGAAGCCCTGCCGGAGCCTGGAGGCTGAAAAGCCTCTGCCCCAGCTGGGTAGCTGCATTTCAGAGGAAAATTCAAGAGGGATATTCAAGAAGTATGTCATAGACTACAGCACGGAGGGCTTTGCTATAGCTTTGCATTTGCAAATTCAGATGGCTAAAAAGAGTGAGATTATAGACAAAAAAAACCCCAACGATAGTACTTGTAGAATGTGAATAAGTTTCTGTCCTGGACACTATACATATTTGTTTTTAAAAATCCTCACACTGGGAGCAGGGAAGGTACACTTGCATAACAGCGTTCCTAGAATAATCTACATATTTAAATTCCTTCATGGATTATTTTGCAGGAGGTCATCTTGCCACAGTACTTATGTGCAATTGCAGCCTTGGCATTTAATATGCCTGTTCTTCTGAAAAATTTAAAATATTCAGAACAGAGGCAACAACAAACTGCAATATGGCCATCTGAACTTAAAGGCAAAGTGCCAATTTGCCAATCACACCCACTCTTAGATTTTGTACCTTTTGTAAGGTACAAAATGTAGTATCTCCAGGCACTGGCAACAAGGAATTTTGGGGGAATCTCTCTACATCTCTCTTTTATGCTTGCTTTCCACATGTGATGACCATCTGCACAAAAGTCAACTTCTGATGCACAGTCATTTCACTCTTTCTGTTTCTTTGTGGATGTGTTTCCCATGCAAATTGGTTTAAAAGGATTATTACTTAGAAATGTCAGAAAATGCCGCATTCTAACTACACTACAACAGAAGACAAGATAGTTTTCATTCATCCCTTGGAAAAGCTACAAGAAGTCTGGACTACCTGTGATGCAAAGCAGGATGGTGCTGAGGCTCCCACACGACTGTGGGGCAAATGGGTATTGCCCCCACCACCATGCCGCGCGGAGGTCCCACGCCAGGATGGCACAGCGCTGCCCTGTACACGGCTGAACCAAGTGCCGTCTCCTGGGGGCTGCATCACTGGGGACACCCGCCCCACATCAGCTGTGATGCCAGGGTCCCTCCTGGGGCAGGGTGCTGAGCCTGGGGATTGCAACGCTGCCTCCTGTAACCACCGCTACCTCCTAGCAAATATCATCCTGGAAAGCAAAACCATTCCAAAACTCAGCAGCCGACCTCCTGCAGCCGCAGCTCTTACGCGAGCATCCTCTGCTCAAGGAGAACTTTGGGTACTATCTGTCCCAGCCAGCTTCAGCACTTCCCAGGTAGTCACCCTGCGCTCATTTCAGCCAAGGCAAGGAAACCATCAATCAGTTGTAGGGGATGATTCATCTGAGCCACTGCATACACCTAAGGATGAGGTGAATTGCTGTCCAGAGGCGCCTACTTCTCTCCTGTGACTCCAAAGGGAGCAAAGCTCACACACAGACATGTACCTATGGCCAGATGAATCACTTCTGATGCACTTCTACTCTGTGAGATGAAATGCAGCAGTAGTGCAGGGGTAATGAGCCACCACCAGCAGCCAGAGGGGTTATTTGATCAGTGGTTTCTAGTGAAGTCAAGCCTGCAAAGCTCCTGGGGTCTACAGAGGGGCCAAAACTTCAGGGTTTTGTGACTGCTGATACTTCAGCTTTTTGCTCTGGTCCTGATTAAGGCTTCAATGCCAAATGGTTTTGTTTACACCACAAGGGATAAAGTCACTCCAAATTCAACTCAACAAAAAGAACACCTTGATTGGAACCATTGGCTTTGATCTTGTTCTGCAACTTTATCTTTTAGTTACTTAAGTGATTTCCTTATTACCTGGCACAACTTGGCACTTCTTTAGCTAACCTAGATGATACATGTAGCAGCATCTGTACTTCTGTATGTATCTGTATCTCTGAATTTAAACAGCTATATATATTCATTATAGAGCTTTTCAACAAACAGAACTGTTTACTGTGAAATAATCTCAGAGGTGGTAGACAGGTAACAAAAAGTTTATGCAAAAGAATATAACTTACAGTTAACTGATTTATTAAACAAAATACATCATCCTTTTTTGAATTCAGTTGTTCCTGTTGGTCAGCTTTTTGAGATTTGAAAGAAAGAAAAAAACCCCAAGTTTTCCCTCTTTCTCAACTCCCACTTGGTTTTCAATTTGCAATGAATTTGTTATTGTGCTGGGTTAGTTAAGGCAGCCTGCAGGGGGGAAATTATTTTCTCTGCACCTGCAAAAGAGGCTGCTCCTTTCAAAAGCCACATTGACACTTCAACAAAACCTAGTTCCCAGGCATGAACTTGCCTCTGTTTCAGCCATCTGATGTTGTTTAAAGCTCAGCAAACACGTTGCTCCAGTATTACTTTGAATTTAACTGAGACAGCTGTAGCAGCTGAGAGCAGATTTAGTCCCTGCCATGCTCTGCCATAATATCAAATGTAACTGAAAGTACGTATATTTCAAAAAGCAAAGGTATTTAATTTACACTTTAAAGTCATGTTTTAACTTGACAGTTCTGATCCTTTTGACTGGGGGTGGAATCAGCCACTTTTATCTGCCCCACTCTAGTAAATCTGGACTGTCTGTGTCCCATCCAGTGCTCTCCCTTCCACACAACACTGCTGAGTATTTTTGCAGGTGCAGTTTCTGATCAAAAGCTGACGCAAATGAGATGTGTGGATCCCCCAGCACAGAGGCGACTTCTGGAGACCCAGGCCCTGCAGCTGCCTACAGCCCTGGCACTTGCTAGTGCCTCCTTCCAGCCACCTGCACAGACGGCAGGCCACAGGGCAGCCAGGAATACCCCTGCCCTGAGATTTGGCAGTCACAAGGCTGGGGATGGTGCAAGCCACGCAGAGCTGAGCACGCACACTGCAGCGTGGGGTACCCACACCTGGCTGCGATAACTGATGTCTCCGTCTGCTGCTGCTTCTGTGACCCTACAAGTAAATAAATAAGCAATGCCTATAGTGTATTTGGCATCTTGTGATCCACCCAGGGGCAACTACAGCCACGAGGTCCATTTTATTTCCTGCAGTGGCCCAAGTGGAAGATAACTGCAACGATGGGGAGAGACAGGGGTGTATTCGGGGACTCAGTGCTGCATATTTTGAGGCTAACAAATCTAAAAATATTACCAGGCTTACAGAAGACTTTGCAACACACTTGGGTAGGAAAAACATTACCATATGATGAGCTGTTGAAGAGTTCAATATTGAAGAAAGCGTAGTCCCCGTTGGTCATTCCTTGCCGATGAGCAGCCAACATGATGTTCCTGATTGTGTCACCGCTGGCACACATGATTACAACTAGTGGAAGAAAATTAAAAACACAGATAAGAAGCAGTTCAAGAACTTCAGGGAACAGCCTGTTAAGCATGAATGCTGCCAGAGACAGTGACCCCAGCTGTCCTCCCAGCATTGCAACAAACTTGACAACGCAGATGGCAAACAAAGCTGATTTCCCAAACAGCTGAAAGAAGACAGGTACCAAACACAGCAAGGCCTCCTCCTCCCTTGTCTCCTCTCAAAATACTTAAATAAAGCCTGTGTGTGATCTAGCTTTTTCCACCCCTGCAACATGTGATAAGTTCAGGCTCCAGATTTCTTTAGCTGCATATATTCGTAGAGCTGATTGCAACCATAAGCCTCTGTTGTTACTTCTAAGTGGACATAAGACAATCTGAAGATGAGGAAGTAAAATGATAGAATGACATTACCATTTTAATTTCCATACCATTGAACAGTTTGGTGCCTCTCTACAGTTAATGGAGAGCAGCATCTCTGCAGCTGTCTAGGGCCAGTGGTATCAATCTTTCCAGAACGCAACCTTCTCTCCAGAGAATATACAATAAGCCTAGGCAACGACCTTTGACGGGACACTTAATGCTCAGAAATGGGAAAAGCAAGTACCACTTTCTGAGTGTGAAGATTAAAGACAGTTACAAGATTAAACTCATTTATCACAGACCAAGAGCTAAGTAGGGGCTCTGCTGCTGCAACAGGACCCACAAGCCCGCAGGTGTGCTCTGTGTGGGCACCAGGATCCACAGTCTCTTCCCCAACCTGCTGGGCAGGAGGAACTACTCCCCTTGCTACCCCTTCCCTCTGCAAAGGGAAAGCAGAAACTCAGGCAAGGTCTTCAGCAACAGGGAGACACCTCCCACACGGAGAACATTACACTATAAACTTTTATACAGGTTCACAAGACTGTGGGTATGAAGCTACTGACATGAGAGGGAGCAGCAAAGTATTGTACCAGTGCGTGCTTCAGGGCTATATCCTACAGCGAAGTCGTAAGAGATCCTGTTGGGACGATGATTCGAAACCAACTGCACGCACGTTTCCAAGAACGCCGTCACGCATGGCCAGGCTCAAAAGCTACAATAATGTACGCAAATATTTTCACCCCAACAATAAAACTGAATCAAAACCACATTCGGCTTTTCTGGGTAGAAGTGTTTGCTATTATAAGAAATGAAAAGGCCAAACAGGCCAAATCTTTTCGCACACAATGAATCTTCTCCCATCGCGTTTCTGGTTGGATGCCATCGCAGGCATAAAGCTCCAGATGTGCCACTGGGGTGAGTCACGTTCGGTACATCCCCACGCTTCAGGAGAGTTATACCATGCATAGCTCTATCCTACTGATTATAGCAGAGTAATATAATAATTTCCAGAGCAACAGAGCAAGACATATTTCATGACCATTGTGAAGTATATTAGCATGAAGGAAAAGAAGACGAAAAAAAATTTTCTTACAATAAAATTTGGATCAAATCTTTTCCAGATGCACATCAGGAACGAATTTGTCTCACTGTTCCTAATTTCAGTATAGGTGAGAGATTTCCTTTTGAAATGTTTCCTTGCTGCCCTCCCAATTCTCCCTTGACTTCGCCTTTATAATTCACATCTATCATAAAACCGTAATCTGTACATGGAATCAAAGAGATTCCCACAACACCAGTAAAAGACCTTGAGCAAAAGGAATAACAAAGAGAGTTGGGGAAAAAAAACCTACTTTAAAATACATTCAATCATATTTTGTAAGCCTCTAAAGGAATGTAAGGGAAGTAATATTAACTATTTGGATGTGGTTTTTAACCCAGCAGGAGAGCAAAGATTACATATTTCAAAATTTTGAAGCAAATAAGCTAAGGGCATGTCTTCCAGAAATGTAAATTATGTGTATTTAATCTGCATCTGTACCTTACTATTGCGTACATACAAATGTGTAAGTGCAAACACGTACAAAATTTTCTCCCTCCAGTTTAGTACACACAGACCACAGTAATTCTAATACTAATATTCTGAATTTATTGACGAGGATTATTGACTCATCCTGCAAATACTTAAGAGTTTAATTCCAGTTAAAGGAGTAAGCGTTCCCTTTGCTACGTGCATCCCTTGGACTACATGCTTATGCACAATGCATTTAAGCACAGTCCTGGGTTTGTAACCGTTATGGCAAACCTGAGCCTACAGCATCAAGACTGCAGAGTGGCTAACCGAGCCTACAAGGGAGCTTGAACTACTAACAAAATTCATTGAAGACAAGTGGTTAACTTTTATCATCATATTTGTCACCATGATTTTGTTGTGGCTCCAAGGACTGACCAGGCAGCCACTGGCAAACACAGGTGCATGGCTGAGTGCACCCCTGCCTCCCAGACCCCCGAGAGCTCAGTGCACACCCCCAGCCAGCAGCAACGTAACCCACGGGGCCAGCCTCTGCCCTGGCTGCCCACAGGCCAGCTGGTGGGGCAGCTTCTTTCTCAGCCCTGGGAGAGTTTCAAGCAGGTATCCTGTATCTGCTTGAAAGCTCACTCCCACTCGGGCAGCTCAAGGAAGCCCAACCACTCAGGTGGGACCAACACCAGCAGCAATCTCTGGAAACAGAGAAGGTGCAGGGTCAGAGCCCAGGACAGTGTCACAGTAGGTGAGCAAACCAACCAATCAACCAAAAACATTTCTAGAAAGTGCTTTGGACAGTGCCACATCACCCACAAGCCCTGCTGCCCCGTTGGGGGGAGCTCCAAGGAGTCCTCAGGAGAAATGAAGACCTCATCTCATCAGCTAAGGCACACGGTGCATCCTTCACATGATATATGACTTTTAAAATACTGTGACAACCTGAAAGGTGCCGTAAGCAGCAGGACCACCCCTTGGGCCCCAGTGAACGTGCCAGGCAAGTCCTGTAGTCAGACTTTGAAGTCAGAAAGGCGCAAGTTGAAGCTGAAGGGCCCCACTTGCTGCATTTCACAGTAGCGGCATGAGCCAGAGGACAAACGAAGAGGTGAGACAGAGGGAGGGACCCCACAGGGCACAAGGCAGGGAAAGAAGTGAGACAGCAGGCTGCTTTTGTTCAGTCATTTGCAAGTTACAGAATCATGCAAGACCAAAGGTCTCAGCTCAGCAAAGCATTTAAGCCCAGGCTGAAAGCAAGCCTCGCTTCCCTGACTGTCAGCATGGTCTGAAGAGCAGGGTTGTCTTTAGCCATCAGTCAAATTCCCACAGCATAGCCATAGCTCCCTATGGCTAAGGGTGAATACTCGCCTTTTCCTGCTGTAAGCATGCTGTTACGCTCTTAGCATCTGGAAAGCTGAACTGCAAGCTGAACCACCCCCCCCCAAAGTTTCACTGATTAAAAAAGAAAAGCATCTTTCCCCACATAGTGGTTTGCTCTAGCACTTACACATTTCTTTCTCTCCATTCAGTATATTTCCCTGAATGGCACTTACTAGGAAAGCTTTATTTTAAGCACCTGCTTCGGTGAATAGAGAATTAAACAGCCGTATGCTTTTAGACCTCAGTTATCTCACACACGCTCCTGCACACGTTAAGGACTTCACAGCAGCGTAACGACATCAGCAGTGCAAGGCTGCTCCGTCTCCAGCCCACGGCACCATTACACCAGTTGTGCCAGTCACACATGGCATGATCTTTATCAGTCCCATTTTGATGCTCTTTTAACATTCTACAAACAGGGATGTAACAATTTTACAAAGCACTTTGTACATCTACGCCTCTTTTGGAAAACAGCTAAGGGGACTTTCCTTAACTTGATCCTGTGGTCCACTTCTGGAATACACCTTTTCTTCTTTTGCAGTACCTTACTGGGGAAGCCTATGGCTGGCAAAAGCCTCTAACAGAAAATGCCTTTTTGGTAAGCCCACATATCCACATGTTGCTCAGCGAGATCTCACTTTAAAACACATCTAACTACAAATTTCCACATCCCAAAGCACTCTGAGCGTTTTACTACTTCATGATGCAAAGCCAGTTCATCCAGCCCAGGGGTGACTTTCCAAGATGTTTTACAAGCCATTTATCTCCACGGTGTTTTGCTAACAGTTGGTGGCAATATTACTGCACGCACTCACGGGTTTCGCATCCACACATCCCCCAAAATGACCGCTTCCCCTAAATGCATTTGTTATTTATGAGGCACTCGACGGGGCTTCCAATGGCAGGAGCGGGGGAAAAGGATCCCCGTGGCAAGACACAGCAGGGGGAGAAGAAAACATCTTTGCTTTGACTTTGAACTTACTTACAGATAGTCACTGCAAAAATCTCAGCGAATAAGCAACAGATTTGCTGCTCCGCAGATGCGGGCGATTTTGGGCAACCCAGACCGCTGGCAGAAAGCCGATTTCTTACCATGCCACACACAAAACCCTCCCGGCGCGGTCCCCGAGGGCGAGCCTCCCTCCCCGCCGCGGGAGGCAAAACTCTGAGGAACTTCTGCGGGCACAGATTTCGCCCAGGGCAGCTGGTCCCCCCTCTGTCGGGGGATGCCTGGCCCGGGGATGCTGGCAGAGCACCCTCAGTGAGTTGGGCAGGGACGGGACGGACGGGACGGACGGGACGTGAGTCTTCCCTCCCGCAGGACTTTCGCTCCCCGACGCTCACACCGCCCCGTCCGCCCCCGAACGCCGCGGAGGAGCCAAGGCGGGCGCCCCGCCGCCACTCACCCCTCTCGCCGGTCTGGAGGGCGCGGACGACGTCGTCGAGGTCGAGGTGCCGGCTGCTCTCGTCGAAGCTGTGCACGGCCATGTGGAAGGCCTCCTCCTGGAAGACCACATGGACGCCCTCCATGGCGAAGTAGCAGCTGCGCTCGGGGTTGCTGTCGCTGTAGAGCAGCGTGGCCCGGCTCCACTGGTGGTGGCGGAAGAGGGCCAGCAGCATCTCGCCCATCTTGGCGTAGGCGGGCGCGACGCGGGTGAGGTGCGAGTACTCGCCGCCCTTGGCGCCGAAGCCGGCGGCCAGCGCCCCCGCCGACAGCATGGGCACGTCCCAGTGGGCCGCCAGCCGCGCCACCGGCGCCGCCGCGTACTCGCAGACGGGCCCCAGCAGCAGGTCGGGGCGGCGGCGCTGCAGGGCCACCATGTCCACCAGGCTGAAGAGGGCGCGGTTGCCGCACGCCGAGTCCTCGTAGGTGAGCTGGAAGGCGTAGCCGGGCGGCAAGCCGGCGCCGCTCTCCCGCAGGCTCCGCACCGCGTACTCGATGGCCGGCCGCACCCGCCCCAGCGAGAAGAGGTAGGCGTCGTCCTGCGGCAGCAGCACCAGCACCCGGATCAGCTTCTCCTCCTCCGCCGCCGCCGCC